TGGCTCCCGCACGCGGGCCCTCATCGCCTCGGAGGGTTCCTCCCCGCGGAGGCCGACGGCCCCGAGCCGCCCTCGTGCAACTGCGGCAAGCTCTTGCAGGGGTCGTGAATATCCTCTTTCCCACTTGGCGGCATGGCCGCCCCTGAGTGTCACCGGCCCCCAGCCCACCCCAACCACCCGAAAAAACGGCTCGTATTACCCTCGATTTTCACATTGGGGAGGGGGTTTGTCGGGAAGCATCGGAAAAACACATGGGGAACCCTTCCCCCCCCCCCCCCCCGACCCGGAATTCGGGTCTTCGGGTTGGGTTGGGGTGGTCTGGTGGGCAGTCAGATTGCGGTGCGGACGTCGACGTCTTGGAGGGCCTCAGGCCGTGGCACCTTGCGCGGCCATTCGTGCTTCGAAGCGCCTATCGCAGGCTCCGATGGAGCTCCGGGCGCGAATCCATAATCTGTTGCACCACGTGCGGATCCGTCGGCCACCCTGGAGCGAGGCGGGGTCGCAGTGCTCGCGCGTCGGATTGCCCTGGCGCCCGCAGGGGTGGCCGTGAGCGGCAATGGGCTTGGATCCTGCGCGGGAGGCGCCCCGCACGTCGCGATAGGCGTGTCGGCCCGGCGGCCTCCCTCTCGGACTCGAACAGGGAAGTAATTCATGGCCACCAAGCTTGGGCTCCCAGAGGTTCGTCCTCTCGGCCCAGCCCCGCCCCGTCGCTGCGGCAGGTCGGCCTGACCCTGCCCGAGGCCTCGCCCTGTTGGGTTCCTCCTCCTCCCGCGCCGAGGCCGTGAGCCCAGGGGCGCGGGCCTTGTTGATGTTTGATGCAGGGCCTGACTTTTCGCTGCAGACTCTGCAGGTGGCGGTGCTCCTCCTCTCGCCGTCCTCCTGCTCCCCCCGCCCCGTCTTCCCCGCCCCCGAGACGCCCTGCCAGAGTCAGGAGGGGAAAAAACACACAGACACAATTAATCGTCGACTCCCCAGAAAATATGGGAAAAGATGGGAAGTGGGGGGAAGAGAGAAGCCCAGAAAATATGGGAGAATATGGGGAATCCTTTTATTGGTGTGTATTTATTCGTGTGTCCCAGGGCCCCTTCACAGAGGCCGCGGCCAGGGGGGTCGGGTGGGCGGCAGGTCCCTGGAGCAGATGGGCCCCCTGCTCGTCTTCGGCGGCTACCAGGTGCGCCTGCGCTGCCCCGACCGGACGAGGCGGAGGGGGGGGGGGCCCGGGGCAGGTGTTTCTGTGCGTGCCCTCTGTCGGGGCATCCTGGCTACGATCCTTTGTGAGCCTCTCCTGTTCGCTCCTCGTTGGATCGTCCCCCCCGGTCACCTTTCTGCACCCTGCTGCATCGTGATGCTGTGAGTTGCGCTCGGTTATCTCAGGGACCCTCTTCTCGCAGGGCGCATCCAGCCCCGCTCAAAGTCCGCCTAAGGGAAAGGGGGATCCCAGATATCCGACGATATGATTCTATTCAAGCCTATAGTGTTTCATCGATTCCGACCCCTGGTGCGATTCTTCGGGTCCCAGGTAAGTCAACGCACACATAAATCCGTATACGCATATATGTGTATGTGTATGTGTATATGAGGACCCCGCAGTTGCGGATAAGACTGAGTGGCGGCGGGGTCGTCGGCAGTCTTCGAGGCTCTGACGAAGCCCGCCGCAGACGCAGATTTTTTCGAATCAGTTCTGAAACGAGCCAGCCGCAGGCGCCGAATGTGTCGTCAAAGCAGGTGGGTGGGTCGCGGGTGGGTCGCAGGTGGGTTGCGGGCCTGGTCGCGGGTGGGACGACAATAAGCAACACATAACACACAATTGCGACAGCGACAACACCAACAATAGCAACAGCAACAACAAACACACCCACACCAGCAGCAACCAACACCACCACCACCACCACCACCAACAACAACAGCGACAGCAACATACAACCAACCACGACAAGAGCCACAACAACTAGATCAACACCACCACCACCAGCAACAACACCAGCAGCAACACCAGTACCAACATCATCAACAAGAGCAAGAGCAACAGCAATACCAACAACGACAACACCATCAACCGTCATTTTAAGATTATTCGTTTGTTACCTGTCCGCGTGCCAGTCAACACGTATATCCCAAACCCTCGATACCCCCTCTCTTCGTCTTCTATCGAAACCTTACCTGCCACGCGTAATTCATACAGCTCTTAAAAACAGGGGAGAGAGGACTGATCGAAGGAGGAGGGAGAACGATGGAGCACGGGAATGATTAGCAGCATGGGGGGCAGGAGCAAGCGCACTTGGTAGAAGCAGCGGGATTGATCGGGCGGGCAGACTCTAGCGGGCGTGTCGGAAAACGGGGTCAGGCGGCCAGGTCGAGCAGACGGGTTGTTGAAGCGTGAGTTTTGCATGAATCGCGAGGAGGTGTCGGGCGCCAGCGCGATTTCCAAGTAAATCGTGAGGAAGGCCAGGGCGATAACGTGAATCCTGAATGTCGAGGGCGCGGCGTCTGAATCAATTTTGGGGACGCCCCTCGCGAGAGCGCGATTCCTGCATAAAGCGTCAGGATTTCTCACGCGACAGCGCGATTCTGAAATAGCTTGTGAGGAAATACCAGGCAGGCGCCGTTGTTGTAGCTGGGGGGCCAAGGGCCCAGTTTGAGAACAGGACGACTTCACTTGCTTAGAACAAGGCGCGGACCTCAGGAGGAGCACTTTAGCTGAAAACGCAATGTGGCACGGAGGGGGGCGGGACCTCTTGGCGCGCGGATGGGACGATCAGGAGGGGAAAAAACACACAGACACAATCAATCGTCGATTCCCTCGAAAAGATGGGAAAATATGGGCAGTGGGGGGGAAGACAGACACCCAGCAAAATATGGGGAAATATGGGGAATCCTTTTATTTGTGTGTATTCATTTGTGTGTTCCGGGGCCCCTTCAGACGAATCGAGTCGGAGAATGTTTGGGACGGGGAGGTCGCCGTGAAGCAAGCGGGTCCCGAGGGAAGCGGGCCTCGAGGCTCGTCTTCCCTCCCAGCCACGGAGAATTCCTGGAGCCGGCAGAGAACCACGCACCACGCACTGCGAACGAGGAGGTGGCCCCGGGCGAGGGCCCACGCCCATCGGGACCCACCTGCTTCATGCCGAGGGTACGGACAAGGCAGTGCGGCACACACACACAATCCTTTTGTAGCTCCGTGCGGGCGTGTTGGGTCGGCATCGGGCCCCTCCCCCTGGCGCCCGGAGCTCGCCACGGGCGGCGCCCGAGGCGCCGCCGGGAGGGCCCACCGCCGATGCAAGAAATCTTTAGCGCTTCGCGTATCCCCAGCAGTTTGACACGCCCTCTGGACTTCTCCTTGCGGGCCGCCGAACAAAAAGGTATCCCCAGCAGATCGGCGCCCCCAGCTCACCGCAGCGCAGCTCGGCGGCTCAGGCAGCTTAGGTTTGACCCCGCGCTCTAGTTTGCTGCTCGCTGTAAATTAGTAAGGACCGCGCCCCGGACTCACCGACCCGCCGCCTGCGCCTTCGCTTGCGGCCGCGACCAAAAAAATATCCCCGCGGCCGCGACCAAACAAATATCCCCAGCAGTGGCTACCCGCGCGCTCGCTTCATTTGCCTCTCTTCTCTTGCTGCCTAGTCGCGGCCCGACTAGTGTTCGGACGGCTCCCGGCCCGCTTCGCAATTCGCGAGCCCGCAGACCAAAAAACATCCCCAGCAGCGCATCCAGAAACAGATCACCAGGCGAGTCGCCCTGATCAAGGAAGTGTAGAAGCATGCAGTGCAACAGCCGCACATGAAGTGTTTTCTCTGAGGTTTTTTGGAGCCACCTGCGGTCTCTCTCGGGATCCTCTCGGAGCCACTTGGGGCACTTGTGGGGCCCTCTTGGAACTTGGTTGCAGGGTCTGCGGTCCCTTTTGGGCCTCTGGAGGCAATTTGGGGCAATACATTCAGCCCCCCCCCCTTTCGGAGGCTCAAACGTGGCTTCTTGGGGCGCTCTTGGGGCGCTCTTGGGCGCTCTTGGGGCCCTCTTGGGGCCCTCTTGGGCCCCCCTTGCGGCGCTCTTGGGGCGCTCTTGGGCCGCCTTGGGGCCATCGTGTGGCCTCAGGAGCCCATCGAAAGCCAAATTGCGAGAAGGCAAACGACATTGATGCCCCTTCGGCTGTCGAGCCATTCTGGCCTCTTTTGGGGGGTCGCGGAAGGCTCGGAGGGCATTTGCGATTGTTTTGGGGCAGTTTTGAGGCCCCTGGGATATTTGTCCGAAGATATCGTGGACCATTGTGAGGTATCTTGAGCCATTTGGGAGGCCATCGTGGGCTCTCTGAGACCCTCTTGGAGCCATCTTAGGCCATCTTGGACGCTCTAACATCTCCGTCCCCCCCCTTTTTCCAGGCCCAGGGGAGGGGTATTGGGAGGGGTAAGCCCCTCCCCCCGAGCAGGTGAAGGCGGGGTTTTGGCAGAGGGAAGACAAAGTTTGTTAAACCACCTCCTCCCAGAGGGCCGGTGGATTTCTCGTGGCTCCGAAAGTCTATGCCTACGCCGTTGCTCGTACTCCTTAAAGGGGGTATACTGATGACCACGAACACCTAAAGGAGCCATCTTCGTCTCGCAGGTTGGAATACTCCAGGACCTGCGTACAGCCAAATTTTCGGGGCCGCTACTTGCCGTTAGTAGCCAACGAGATTTAGACATTTCAGTTATCCCCTCGGTAATTCCCTTTCAAATCCACGGCGTTCCAGGATGAATGATTTTGTTGATGGTGTTGGTGATGTTGTTGATGATGCTGATGGAGATGATGATGATGATGATGATGATGATGATGATGATGATGATGATGCTGATGATGATGATGATGATGATGATGATGATGATGATGATGATGATGATGATGATGATGATGATGATGATGATGATGATGATGATGATGATGATGATGATGATGATGATGATGATGATGGATGATGATGATGATGATGATGATGATGATGATGATGATGATGATGATGATGATGATGGTGGTGGTGGTGGTGGTGGTGGTGGTGGTGGTGGTGGTGCTGATCCGAATGATGATGTTGATGTTGATGTTGATGCTGGTGCTGATGCTGCTGGTGATGGTGCTGGTGATGGCGCTGGTGATGGTGATAGTGCTAGTGATGGTGATGATGGTGATGACGGTGAGGAGGCAGAGGAGGAGGAGCAGGAGGAGGAGGAGGAGGGGGAGGAGCGTGAAGGGGGGTTGGCCACCCTCCAGTCGGCAAGCGGCGCCTCAGGTGCTCGCCTTCTGCGACTGGCAGCGCCGGGCCCGGGGCCTCTCCGGCGAGGACTTCGCCAGGCGCCGCGGCCGCGGCCTTCGGCCCGCGTGGGCGGCGAAGGCCTATTGGACCTCAGTCGGGCCTGTCCCTCCACAGGGGGAATATTCAAAAATAGCCAAAAAATCAGCAGACGATGCTTCTGGCATTTGTTCCTACCATTTTGGGGTATGTTTGGGGGTACTTATTTTTCGCCCCCCTCGCCCGCGCCCTTCCGGAGCTCCTGCTGCGCCCTGCTAGGCTTAAGTCGGGCCTGTCCCTCCACATGGGGAATATTCAAGAATAGTCAACAAAAATCTGGAGACGCTGCTTCTGGCATTTGTTCCTACCATTTTGGGGGGCATGTTTGGGGGCACTTCTTATTTTTCGTCCAAGATTCCTCTGTAGGAGGACAGGCCCGACTTGATACTAGACCCCCTTCGGGCCATGAAAAAATCCCGACGGGAGGTTTTTCGCCACCCTCGCAGGCCTAGAGGTTGACATCAGCACCGATATCGGCGGCGTGCCTCCGCCGAGGGAGGAAGATCCCGATCTCGGTGATCGTGATATTCTGGCTTCCAAGGTGACCGAAATATGACCACCAACGCCGAAATCTAGGACACTCTTCCCAGGGTGGAGGCAACCCCCTGTGTTGGTGTTGGTGCCAGTTTCCAGGCCTCGAATGCTCCGAGTTTCTTAGTAAGCGTCGGGGGGGCGTCACCCCAGCCGACAGCCCCACATCGACCCCCGTCGCGGGCAGCCACCCCGCGCCACAGGCGTTAAAACCCCCGTCGCGGCGCGACGACGAGGCGAGGTTGACCCCCGTCGGGGGGTACCCTCCACGCTTATTAAGAAAGCCAGAGTATCTTCCCCCTCTGGGGACCCTTACCAGGCCGCGGGGCCGTCCACAAAACGACTCAGGATGAAGAGCCGGTCCTGGGGAAGGGGTCGAGACCCCTGGGGGTCAGCGTTATGAAAAAATCACGACATCGGGGGTCTGGGGAGGAGGGTGGTGACCCCTGAGATCCCGGCGTTGCATTTTTTTCTCACACCAGACGTTCTCGCTAAGTTTCGGGCCCCAGGACCTTATCCGGCTCGAAAAATGACGCAGAAGGATGGGGTCCGAGGCTCCTGGTTTTGCAATGTTGCGTTTTTGTTTGTAACGTCGGATCTCAGGGAATACGAGGTGTGGGGGGGGCCTCATAGCCAGGCAATGATATCTGCCCAGATTTCAGGGCCCCCTCTCCTTATTTCATTGCGTCCCTTGCGCCCCCGTCCCCCCTCGTCCGCCCACGTGCTTGCGGCCAGCCCCCGAAGCCCTCCGTGCCCTGCTCGTCTTCGTCCTCCTCGTCTTTCGAGGAGACGCTAACGTGGATTACGGCGCGTGGATTAGCGACGGGTCCCGTTTCCATGCGACATCGGCGAGCTCCGTCTCCAAATTGGGCAGCATTGACGCCATGTTTCGGGGGGCACTTTCCTGAGTCTTTGGATCTGGCGCCCACGCGTCAGATCCACGGATCCCTATTCAATGTTAGCGTGTGCGCGAGTGTCGCAGTTCATGAGTCCTGAGTTTTTTTGGGAAGGAGGTGGGCAGGGATAATTCGTGGTTCGGCCCTCTTGTCTTCGCGCAGGAATTGCCCTGGATTGCACACACCTCGACATTACCCGGATCACAGTCTGCCTCATATACATATACATATACATATACATATACATATACATATACATATACATATATATATACATAGATATGTAAACACATATTTATCCAATGCTCTACTGAAGCAGGAGGTGATCTGGATCCAACGGTTCTCGGACTTGTTCCATTTGCGAGGACACCAAGCAGGGATCTACCAGAGCAGGTCTATCCCAGATAGTTTTGGTGTCCCAGTTCATCCTCACCCCTCTCCTCAGAGTAGAGTGGAAACCCATGCCAAGAAACACCCTGCTTTCCTGCCCTGGGTTTCTTGTGTGTCGATGGTTTTGCTGTGGAAAACGCGATTTCCCCACACCAAAAACCACTGGACGTCCAGCGGTCTCAGGTTTGGGTTTCTCGTGGAAGGTCTCTTACGGTCGAGCTCCTGCCGTATCTTTCAAACTTTCGTCTCCTCCCCTGTCAGTGCCCCTCGTGCCGGTCTTCGGCAGGGATGCCTGCGCGAGCGCATCCTCATATACCTCTGCCTTTGTGGGTTGCCACCCCACAGTCTGCCAGCACCTGCCCTAGATTTTCCTCCTCCGCCTCCTGCTCCTTCTCCTATTCCTCCTCCTCCTCCGCGCCCCAGAGATGCCGATCCAGAAGGGGCCCGTGTAGCCAGAGAAGGAGGAGGAGGATAAAGATGAGGAGGAGGAGGAGGAGGAGCAGGAAGAAGAGGAGGAGGAGGAGGAGCAAGAGGAGGAGGAGGAGGAGGAGGAGGAGGAGGAGGAGGAGGAGGAGGAGGAGGAGGAGGTGGAGGAGGAGCAGCTGGCGGCTCGGGCTCTGTGCAGCAGCCGTCGGCAGTGAAGCGGACTCCCAGAGCAACGGGGCCACGCCTCTCGCGATCTGCTGGCCGCGGCCCCCCGGCCCAGACCCCCGTCCCAGGCCGGAAGTGAGAGGGACCCCCAACATCGGGGCCTAAGAGACGGGGGTCAATGCACACGAGGGTCAGCCAGAGCGCCCGATATTGCAGGATCCTGCAGGGCCCGGGTCGCTATGACCAGGGTCTGGGTGCAGGGTCCTGCAGGACCTTGCAGGATCCCTCGCATTGGCCCGGGGTTGGGTGCAGGATCTTGCAGGGTTCTGCAAGGCCTTATTGGCCCAGGTCTGGATTGACCCGGGTCAGAAGATCCCCGACAATAGAGGTCAACGCCGGCATTGTATGGGGTCTTAAGAATTTGGAGTTTCATACTGTCCAGCATCTACTACAGATTACAGGATGCTTGCTACAGCAGCAGCAGCAGCACCAGCATCTACTACTGCTCGCAGCAGCTAGTCGATGCTGGCGACGGCAACCATCACCGCTCCGCAGCGCAGTACCGACCGTATAGCAGCAGCCAGGACCGCCCAGCGATGGCAGCAGATATTCCTGCACAGCGTTTCCAAGTGCCAGCCTAGTATCGCCAGCACCAGCGAGCAATAGCGAGCGATGGCGAGCTGCATTTCGGGGCCTGCTTGGGGCATCTGTAGGCCCCGTTGCGTTGCCCGGGGGCCCGTCTTGCGGGGGTCTGCGGGCACCGCGGAGTTGTCCGCAATGCCGTCTTGAGGAGGCCTTGGAATCGTCTGGTGCCCCCTCCAGGAACTTCCCCTCCCTCCTGTCCCCCCACCCCCTTCCGCCCCCCCTCTTCCCTCCTCCCCCTCCCCTGTAGATTTCATTAGAAAGTTCCATATCTGCCGTACAGTCAACCCGCATAGCAAGGATGGGCAGCTTGCACAAGGGTACCCTTACATCCTTGCCCCTTCGTCCCATCCTTGGCGACTCCCGCTGGCCAGCCTCGTTCGAAAAAGCGTTGGCATGGCGCCCCAAGTCCCCTGCATCCTTACCGCGCAACCTTACTATACGGGTTGACTGTAAGTGCACGCGGCATTCCAGGAGAGCAGTGCCTGTGGATCGATGGCGGTACACCGCGTGGCAGCCGCCTGATTCCAAGGAGGGTAGACCCTGCACGCGGCTCCATCGGCGCCCCACAGCTGTCTTGCAACGATCCAGAGTTCACAGCGCTTGTCCCATGGATTTCCCTGGAGGGCTGATCCTGATCGTCGCCAGTGAGATGGGCCTGGCCGTGCTTCAAAAGGCCCTCGCACGACCTCGTTCTCCAACAAAAAGTGCAAGGGGACACCTCCCCTCCCCTCACTCCCGCTCCAGTTGCCAGCGGAAGCCACGGCAGCGAGCGCATCCGCCCGAACGGCACGAGAGGGTCGGCCCGGGTGCTCTCTGCAGTGCTGCCAGCGCGGCCCCTCGTCGACCGACTGGGCCTTCCCTGCGGACGACGTCGAGGCAGCTCGGCGCCGACATGCAGCCTGAACCACCTCCCTGGTTCCCAAGGCGCCTGGAGGCAGCAGGAGGAGTCCAGAGCTCGACGATCGAGGCGGACCCGCTGGATCTCTTGAGCCCCTCTCTTCGGACGGCGCGCGCGACGCATCCGAGAAGGACAGATAGTGGCACTGCACGCGCTTCGCTCGAGACGGCAAGGGCTCCCATGAGGGAGCTGAGAAGGAGTGGCCGTTGCAATGAAGGGGGGGCAGGATCTGTCCGCGCCTGGTTGGTGGCGCCACCTTAAAAACCGGCCATGCGTCTCTCTTCTCGGGGCAGGGCTGAGGACGGCTTTAGGTCTACGACCAAGTCCGCCGTGAGCAGCAGCATCTGTCCGCGCCTGCCTGTTCTCATAGCCAGTCCAGTGTCTCGGGCACGGTGAGCAGGTTAGGTCCAGGTCACGTGGCACACGGTCTCTCCTGCTTCCTCCTTCCAGGCGCTCTCGTTTGGAAGAGCCCTGGCAAGATTGGGGGTTGCGTCCTGCCAACAGGCTTTGGCACTGCACTCGGTGCCAGAGGCCAACGTCTAAGGAGCCGCAACCCGTTGAGCCATGCATATGGTTTTGCAACATCGCCCAAACCCTCTACAATAATCCGCTTGGCAAAACCCTATGTGTAACAGAACTTGCCCCAAGGCACTCAAGTCATTGTCATGTGCAGTAAATGCGGGTGTCGTTCTAAAAACCTCCTCGCATTGGGATTGGACGACACCTGCAAACGCAGGATGTAAACCAGCCACCGTTGAGGGTTGCACCCAGATCGTAATCGAGGACTTCTGGCTATAGATCCGCTGATCTCGAGCTCGACTTTGTTTCAGGTCGAGGATGAACTGACGCCCAGTTGCGGCTGGGGAGCACCTTTACAACGCAGCTGCAACGCTGACATCGCGTCAAGGACCGCTGCTGGTCTGCAATCTTGCTCACATTCGTGCAATCTTGCTGGTCTGCAATCTTGCTGAGGGTGGGCACCGACCACATGCCGTTAGGTCAAACAATTGTGCATCCCTCGGCTTCCGCCTTCTCCTCCCGTGCCATCCTTTCCTCGTCGTCGCGTCGTGTCGTCGTCAGCGCCGTCGTTGTCCGTCGCCATCGTCGTCGTCGTCGTCGCCGTGGTTGTCCGTCGCCGCCGTCGTTTTCGTAGATGTCAATCGTCGCCGTCGTCGTCTCCGTCCTTGTCCGTCGTCGCCGTCGCCGTCGTCGTCGTCGTCGCCGTCGCCGTCGCGGGCGGCCGCTGCTTTTGTCCAACCTGCCCGGGCCGCGTGCCCCTGCCGTGGGCGCGCGCGGGGCCAACCTGCGCAGGCCTCCTCCCCAGCTCGAAGAAGAGACGCCAGAAGCGTGAGCTTCTTTGGCGCTCCGCGCGGATGGCTTGGACCCGCGCTGGGCACGATGAAGCCAGGCCGCCGAGGCTCGGATCTAGAAGTCGCTCTTCGACAGGAACTAGAGCCAGGCAGTAAAAAGTTGCGCATCCACAGCTTGAGAGTTCTTTGGTTGCATCACCCCGGGCGGCGCCTCTGCCGGGCGGCGCCTCCGGCGCCGCCCCCGCCGCGCTCCGCGCGTCCCAGGGAGGGGGGTCCAGCGCGGGTCCAAGAAGTCCGCGCGGAGCGCGAACAGTTTACGTTGATGGTGTTCTTTCTTCTTAGTGTTGTTGGTATTTTTCTTCTTCTTCTTCTTCTTCTTCTTCATTTTCTTCTCCTTATTCTTCTTCTCCCCATCTCAACCAGGTTTCGCGTCAAGTGCATGGCCGGCCTCGTCGCCGCGCTGTTCGGCGCGGCGGTCGTGCTGTACCCCACAGGCTTTGCGCCGCCGCGGCCCGTGAGGGCGGCCGCGCGGAACGGGTGGCAGGGACAGTTGCGCAGGGCTGCGCTTGCCTCATCCTCCTCCTTGTCCTCCTCCTCCTCCTCCTCCTCCTCCTCCTCTTTCTCGTCCTCCTCCTCCTCCTCCTCCTCCTCCTCGGTCCTCCTCCTCCTCCTCCTCCTCCTCCTCCTCCTCCTCCTCCTCCTCCTCCTCCTCCTCCTAGGCCCAAATGTCTTTTTCAGGAGATACACGGCCGACTGCGCGTCCGTCACACTCCAGCGTCGCCCCTTTCAGTCTGGGGGGGGGTCGGGTCACCGACGCATGAGGCGGGTCTGTCGCGGGGAGCAGGGAGATGGCCATCTCGTTTTCGGTTGCTGTCTACAATCCTCTCAGTTTACTCTCTGCAGATCGCTTGACGGAGATTGCTGCACGGCTAAATGTTGACATTTTATTGCTGCAGGGCACGTGTATCAAGGAGTGGCAGGGTAGAACGTACCATATCGAACGGCTTGCACAGAGACGGACTGCTATTCATTTTGGCTGGGCCAGGGGCCCGTTCACAAACGCACACGCTGGTTGTTGTGTCGTACTCGGACGTCGCATACATGCATCGCATATCAAGAGTATTGTTAGCGCACCTAGTACTATCATGGGGAGAGCTGGCGAAGTACGGATTAAGAGCGGGTCCTTCGATTTCACGGTGCTGAGCGTGTACCCACCCCCCGTTGTCCCATCGGGCCCCCGACGAGCCGCACAACAGAAAGCAGTTAGTGCAGTCATGAATTTCTTCAGGGATAGAGTGTCTCGAGCGCGTGCACGCAGTACACTTATCTGTGGTCTCGACATCAATTCGAAGCTCGGCCTAGATGACCAGATGGCACCCTGTGACGAAGACGGTCTTTCTCTCGGTCCCCACCATTTAGGCAAGAACGGGACAGCAGGACGCATCTTCACCCAGACGTTGCTCGATTTCGAGTTGATGGCCCCCCATACGTACTACCCTAAATCAGGTCCGACGTACTATGGGCACGCAGGGGACTGTAATACATTGGACATACTGGCACTACCACGTATTCTAGGACCTAAAGTCACACGGTGTATGGTAGCATGGCGCACGGGACGAGAGTTACAACTTATTCCTGACACACGTCCACGTGATCACTTTCCTCTTCTTGTTGAGTTTTCTTATCACCTTCACTTGGCCCCGCTATCCTCCCAGAGAGTGGTCTGGGACTACAGCAAGCTCTCACAGGCTCTCCAGAACGGCATCGCTCGCAAGGAGTTCCACACTGAGCTGGAGAGGGAGATGAAGGGGACGGGAGGGGAGTTGCAGGAGTTGAGGGAGGATACGCACACTGATCATCATTATCAACGGTGGCTGGACATTGTACGTGCACTGGCTATTAAACATTTCTCGGTTAGCAACAATAGGGACACAGCGCACCGCCGGCTAAGCCTAGAAAGACTTCGACTTACTAAACAGCGTCAAGCTTACCGCTGGGAGGCCCACTTGTTCTGGGAGAGCTATGGCTGTGTTCCTGGAGTTTCTGAGGCACATCTTGAATGTTTGGTACAGCTAAAGCACATCACGTATTCACTACGTCGCCGGCGCCGTGTCGATCTCGCTCTTCGTAGGCAGGACGTGGTTGAACGGTTGAAAGAAGCTAGGCAACGACAGGATCAGGCTGAGGTTTATCGACTTGCTCGAGTTCTTTCGGGACGTTCTCTTGGGGTAAAAAATCGACTCCATAATCATCTTCCAGGATATAGACCAGATCTCCAGGAACTCCAAGAGCAGGTACGCAAGCCAGGGTGTGAGGGAGGCATGAACGCTACGTACTATCCAGAGTATGCTAAGATGGTGCAGGATTTCTTGAGAGACGAAGTAGGCGCAGGATTACTACAACGCAGCAGCACGAGAGAGGTGACAGCGGAAGTACTGGTAGAACAGATGATCTCAAAAATGCGTCGTAGTCATAAACGACGAAGTACAACGAGTTGGTCAGTACCAGTCGAAGTTGCTTTGATCGTTCTCGACCCAGGGCACCTCTCTCGGAGTAGGTACCAGAAGTTTGGAATTGGCTACGAGACTGATGCATCTGCCCAGGGGGTTGGCGCCGTTTCCGACCCGAGTCACAACTCGTCTTTCTTCAGTTTCTGGGATTTAGAGGAAGAGCCAGACTCGCAGCCAGATCGATCAGTAGAACTACCTCCCAGAGCTAGTGGTGATCACGTGAGTTGTCCTTCTCGGTCCCCTGACGGTCGGGAACACCGTCTTGCCTCTACGGACAAGTTGACGGCAGCGAGGTCAGAGTTTGTTGAGATTCTCATTCACTCTATGCGCGTAGAACAACTACCTACATGTTCTAGTGTCACGGAGGGGGTCTTCCTTGAAAAGCACAATGGCAAGGAAAATATGGGGGGGCTCCGTGCGATTCATTTAGCTGATACATTTTGGAAGATCTTTTACAGCGTCATATACTCTTGGGGAAATAAGAAACAAGGGTACTCACGGAACTTTTCCAGCAGATGGCACGGGTTCCTTCCTAACCGTCGGCGTGAAGGTGCAATTCTTGTCCAACAACGAGTAGGATGGACTTTACGCAGACTAAACATTCCGCACTTGAACGAATTGCATGACTTAACGAACGCATTCATGTGCCCACATCAAGATGAACTTCGTAAGCTGTACCCATTGATTATACGGGAAGACCTACATGTATTTGCTGAACAACGTCTCGTCAATAGTGTAGTCGCTTTTACCTTGCAGGGGGTCCCACACCATTTCATGACGAAGCATGGTGGGCTCCAGGGCTCTGGAGAGGCTCCTCAGCAGTTTGTGGGCGTCTTCGATAAATGCGTAGATGAGGTTGTAGAGTCACCTGAGCATACACCCCTCATGTTCATTTGCGAGGTCGGCGATCTAGGGATTACGGATCTTTCTATTAGTGGTTATGCAGACGATCTGTTTCGTAAACGACTTATCGATGTTACAGATGTACACGGTGTTTTAGCACAGATTCATCGCGGCGACGAAGACTTGAATTCGGTACTGGGGAAGTGGGGCTTCGCACAAAACATGAGCAAGAAAGGTATCGTGCCTTTCCTATGTTCAGATAGATTGAATAAGGAACTTCAACAACTTTGCCCACAGGAACGAGGATGTGTCCGTCCACACGCGCGCCACTTGGGAGCACGATCTAGCATGCGTGGCCATAATGCTGCTGAAGTAGACAATCGCATACGAGCTATTCATCGCGGATGGGCTCTACTTGGAAGATTTTGGAGCGAGCACGGCCTTAAACGATTTAAGCGTGAAGTATACCTAGGCGTGGTTGTAGGGGGTGGTCTCACAGGCATTGAGGCGTATGTGTTACGAGTGACGGAGTATAAGCGCATCGACTCAGCTGTAGCCAAGTACCTCAGAGTATTAATGCGGGGCTCGGCCACTAGCTGGACAGGTCCCCATGTTAAGACGATGAGCAACTTGGAGCTTCTCAGGGAATGGAAGATACTACCAGCTCGGGGAGAATTGGCCATACGTCGAATCCGATGGCTACAACAGATGCTCCGTCATCGTTTTGCCAACCAGCAGACACTTACTGCCCTCTTCGGCCACCTAGGAGGCGAACGTCCCACGCTCGACTTAGAAGGACATCTTCGACCAGACGCTAACCCATGGGTTCTCCAACTGGCCGCAAATCTAGAGATGTACCGAGGACTCAGCGGCACTGAGTCTTTCTTTGAGCAATGGCAAGATATGAACGACTCATGGTTTTCTATATTTGAGGAGAACTCAGAGCCCGCACATGAATTTCTTCGGATTGACCCCAGTCTTCTTCGTGCCGCCGCTTTTACTTCAAAACTAACATGGGCTAGACTTTTTCGTCCAGACATTCTATATGATGAAGGAGACCACGAAGATAAGTTTGTATGTGGATGGGTCCTGGAGGGAGGGGGCACATGCACATGTACATTCAAGACATACGCACAATTACTAGGACACCGTACTCATGGACACGGTGAACGTGCTGTATCTGCTACTATCGTCACGAATCAGTGTCCCAACTGCTCGAGCACCTTCACCTCCGTCGACATTGCACGATCGCATATTCGTAGAGCATACAGGTATGGTAGATGCCAGATGGGTCGTTCGCACATGGTCCGCGACTTAATTAACACCGATCCGTGGGAATGTAACATTTGTCAGGCTCAATTTCCATCGAGTGTCGAGCTCAACTTCCATATCTGCGAGTCACACCTACCACACCCACTACCTCGACTTACTGATGTTGCTGCCACCTCCAGCCGGCGCGGCCGCGGCAGCGACCCCTCAACCCAAGCAGCGTCGTCTCGAGGAGGACCAAGGAGGGGAAGAGCGTACTCGCAACATAGAGCAGTGCCGCAGGGAGATGCCAAAAGGCCAGCGGCGTCTCATCACGCTCATGACCAAACAGTTGCTTCGTCTCTCCCAGCAGAACCGCGAGATCATGGGTTGCGTGTTCGACACATTCTTGATCCCAGCCAATTCCAACATCATTCTTCGGGCCCAGGAGCAGACGTCCAGGTATGCGGAGGCAGTGAAAGTCAAGGGTCAGGCAGACAAGCTGGGCCCTCCACGCATATGGGCAATGGCGGGAGTTCTCGCAGCCTTGAAGGAGAAGGGAGATACAGTCGGAGTCAAGACAGCCCAGGATCTCATGAATTCGATGAACGAGATGGAGGCTTGGACGGTAGATCAGAAATGCGAACTCATCATGTTCTGCAAAATCGACAAGACTTATCAGAAGGACACCAAGAGGCTCACAGTATGCTTCCGAAACATTCAGTTTCGCCAAATCATCCTCTCGGCGTTGTCCCAGGTCCCAGACACTCGGAGGAAACATGGCAAAGCACCGCCAACGTTCATGGAGAGGGAGCTGCAGGCATGGGTAGAAGGGTTGCTGGAGGAAATGTAGTTGTAGCAGCAGACAGAATCTTGAATATGTACTTAGCATCACGTAACATACTTCCCGACCATCCTTTGTATAGGACGTTTGCGACAAGCAATCGTGCGAGGGAGGAGGCCCACAGATGGTACCACTCACAGTAGATGGCGGGATTGTGCCGCACTCCTCGTCGTCGTCGTCGTCTTCGCTGCTCTCTGCGCTGCCGTAGTTTCCCTTGTCGTTTCGTCTCCCTCTCCCTGCTCTCCTTTTCTCCCTTCCTCCGTGGCCTCCGCTCTCGGCCTCTCCCCCGCTTCGGCGGGCCGTCCTCTCCGTCGTCGTCGCTGTCGTCGTCGTTGTCGTTCTCTGCCGAATCTATGGAGCCGACGAGGAAGCAGCCGCCTTCCTCGGACACGAAAGGGTTTAGACGCAGTGGAACTTTGCAAGGAGAGGGGCAAACATTTAGTGAACACCCCTGCCGGCTTTAGAGTATGCACGTTCAGTGAGGAGTGTGTCAGGTGCAGGAGAGTTGCTCCCCGCGGACCCCCCATTCGTCGGGGTCCGCTTGGGCGAACCTGGCGCCGCGATGGCGCTGGAGGTGCCGCCCTATGCCTAGCGGCCCCCCCGCTAGACGAGCTCCTCACGAAGGCTCGCCGTGCCGCGAGGTTCGAGAATTTGGGATAATCCCAACTCCTCGAACTGATTTTGCTTTTTCGAGTTTCTCAGCGAGCCTCGATGACCGTGAGAGATCGGCACTTCAGGTGGCAGTCAGTCAGTCAGTCCTCCTCCTCCTCCTCCTCCTCCTCCCCCACCTCCTCCTCCCCCTCCTCCCCCACCTCCTCCTCCCCCTCCTCCTCCTCCTTCTCCTCCTTCTCCCCCCTCCTCACCCCACTCCCACTCCTCCTCGCCTTCTCCACACTCCACTCTCCTCCCCAGTCCCCCCCTCTTCCTCTCTCCACACTCCACTCTCTTCCTCGTCCTCCCCCTCTCCCACATCTCCTCCTCCTCCTCCTCCTCCTCCTCCTCCTCTCCTCCTCATCCTCTCCTCCTCCTCCTCCTCCTCCTCCTCCTCCTCCTCCTCCTCCTCCCCGCCACCCCCTCCTCACCCTCCTCCTCCTCCCTTTCCTCCTCCTCCTCCTCCTCTCCTCCTCCTCCTCCTCCTCCTCCTCCTCCTCCTCCGCCTCGTCCCCTCCTCGTCCTCGTCCTCCTCCTCCTCCTCGTCCTCCTCCTCCTCCTCTTCCCTCCTCCTCCTCCTCCTCCTCCTCCTCCTCCTCCTCCTCCTCCTCCTCCTCCTCCTCCTCCTCCTCCTCTCCTCCTCCTGCCTCCTCCTCCTCCTCCTCTCCCCTCCCTCCACCTCCTCCTCCACCTCCCTCCCCACCTCCTCCTCCTCCTCCTCCTCCTCCTCCTCCTCCTCCTCCTCCTCCTCCTCCTCCTCCTCCTCCTCCTCCTCCTCCTCTCCTCCTCCTTCTCCCCCCTCCTCACCTCACTCCCACTCCTCCTCACTTCTCTCCCCTCTCCCCCCCTCCCCCTCCTCCTCCCTCAGTCCCCCCCTCTTCTCGTCCCTCCCCTCCCCACATCTCCTCCTCCTCCTCCTCCTCCTCCTCCTCCTCCTCCTCCTCCTCCTCCTCCTCCTCCGCCACCTTCTCCTTCCCCTCCTCCTCCTCTCCTCCTCCTCCTCCTCCTCCTCCTCCTCCTCCTCCTGTCCCAAAATTTGTGTTTTTCCCAGTGCCCGACGCGGGCTCTCTGCGGACTCGGCGCGGATTTGGCGTGGATCTGGCGCGGATTCGGCACAGATCCGACGAGTCCGACATGTATTCGGCACCGATTCGACGCGGACTGGGCCAAGGGGGGACAGATAAGGTCACCCGAGGATGCAACATCAGGCTCAGCTGGACTGACGTGGCCCGCTTGGAGCCCAAGAACGCCAGGTGCGCCAGGTGCGCGCGGCGCGACCCACGAAGCCCCGAGAAGGCCCCGCGGGGGGGATCTCTTGGGGCTCCCACGGGCTACGGTCAGGGATGTCTGCCTCGCGTGTCGCGCCGCCGGTTCTGGCCAACCGCGCCGCGGCGCGACCTTGCGAACCACGTTCTCGCTCCCAGGCGCCAGCTTCTCGAGCCTTTCCCCAGCCTCCCGCCACGGGGAACGGAGCGACACGGTGTCCGCCTGCAGGGCATGGCGTGTCCCCGGGGCCGCCGCCGCGACACGCTGCGTAAACGTTCCCGACCGTAGCATCGACGGCCATGTTGACGGTGAGCGCAGTGGCAGAATCAGCTGCAACGCCAGCAGTGAGTAGTGACAGGGACGGCCGTCGAGATTGTCAGTGGAGTGTCGTGTCCTCGGCGGCTGCCACCAGATCTGCCATCGCGATCGCCATGGCAGCCGCAGCAGTGACCTGGGCTTGCTGCAGCCCGTTCGTAACACTGTCGGGTCGGTGTTTTTGTTGGGCAATTGGCGCTGACCTCGGCCAGTTCTGGGGCCCTCTCGGAGGGGCCCCAGACCCTGGCGTTCCCCGCGCTCGCTCCCCCGAATAGCTCCGACGTCGAGCACTCGTTCCCGCGCGCGCGCAGTCTCCAAGATCCAACGTCCCGGAAAAGTCAAGACGTAGGTTTTTCGTACTTTTCGGCCTCGAGGGGCCCTCGCCGGGCCCCGGGACCGTCAACAAACGACTCAGGATGAAAACCCGGTCCTGGGGAGTGGGTCGAGACTTCCAGGGACCCCGTATTGAAAAACTTACGACGTCGGATCTCTGGGGTCATGGCACCGGCCACGGCAGCAGGCAGGAGGCGTCACGCACACACACACACACACACACACACACACACACACACACACACACACACACACACGCACACGCACACGCACACGTACGCACACGCAACACGCACACGCACAACGCACACGCACACGCACACGCACACGCACACGCACTCACACGCACACGCACGCACGCACACGCACACGCACACGCACACGCACACGCACACGCACACGCACGCGCACGCGCACGCCACGCGCACGCGCACGCGCACGCGCACGCTCACGCGCACGCGCACGCGCACGCGCACGCGCGGCATCAACGCCACGCGCACTCGCACGCGCACGTTCACGCGCACGCGCACGCGCACGCGCACGCGCACTCCACGCACACGCACACGCGCCCAACGCACACGCACACGCACTCGCACAACGCGCACGCGCACGAGTACGCGTACGCGTACGCGTACGCGCACGCGCACGCGTACGCGCACGCGCACGCGCACGCGCACACGCACACACGCGCACGCACACACGCACACACGCACACACGCACACACGCACACACGCACACACGCACACACGCACACACGCACACACGCACACACGCACACACGCACACACACACACACACACACTGTGTCCGAATCGTGGCTCGGCCCGTGCGTCGTCGACGCGTAAGAGAGTGACACCTCGCCGGTGTAACCTTTTGGTACGGGCCGACATGGGTCCCGTGGGCTCCCCCCAGGACTGACTGGCCTGTGCGCGAGGATTTCCCCTCCCCCTCCCCACAGACCCTACAGTCGCGCACCAAATGTCACTGTTGCCCAAGGTTGCTCTTGCGTGTGCCCGAGGGGTGTCGCCTGTGCGGGGACGAGTGGGCCATTGCGCCAGGCTACTTCGGGCCGCTGTCCTCGCGGATCCGCGGGCTGTTCATGCAGCACACGAAGACGGAGCGGACGGGGTCGTTACCGCTTTTCCCTAACCATCCCTGGTTGAGAGCTGAGCCCTTCTCCTCTCCTTGCCTCTCTGTCTACGCGCGCGTCTCCTTCTCCTTCTCCCCCCCTTCCTCTCCTTGCCCCTCTCTCCGCGCGCCCATTTCGCCACGCCCCTCACCCGCTCCGTGGCCCCGCGGGGAGCGCCACCTACGGTCTCAGAGGGCGCCGTGCCCGTGCCGGCAAACCCGGCCAACGCTTCGCTGCCCCATAGGGAGCTCCACCTGCGGTCACCGAGGGCGCCGACGTATGGCGGCACCCGGC